CATTTTTTTTTTTTTTATTCTTTCTTCTTTCCACACAGGGAGGGGGAAAAAAATAAACAAATAAGGCAATTTCTACAACATTATCACCTCGGCTCCCTTTTAAAGTGCACTCTACATTAACACACCGACACTCCCCGGAGCAGTCGACCGCCTCATCCATGCATCGGAGTCCCGGGCCCCAGCGCACCGGCTCCGGCTCCAGCTCCAGCCATGTCGGCCAGGAATGCAGCGGCTGGCGGCGGTGACAGAGCGGGAGACGAACCGGCAGGTAACTGGGAAACACAGCAGACAAGAAGCTCATATTAAAAGCAGTTTGTGAGTGTTGACACCGGGCGACTTATTTGGGGGGGAGTGAGCGGGAAAGAGAGACGAAGCCCCGCGGTTGTGTGTGTGTTTTTATTCCTCCACCGGTTGACCGTAACTTTGCGCCATCCCGAAACTAGGTCAGTAGATCAGTGGAGCAAACTCGCCCTCTCTGCGCCTTTATGTAACCCTGGAGGACGTTGTGTTTTTATTTAAATCCCACCAGCTAACGTTATCGTACCGTGTGCTTTGTGTTTTTTTTTAAACGATAACGTTATTTAAACTGTGTGTGTGTGTGTAATGTCTGCGAGCTGGTGTTCGTTAACGCGGACGACACAGACACGGAGCTGTTAGCTTAGCAGTGGTAGCGAAGGCCTGTTTACCATGGCAACGCTCTCAAAGCAGCACAGGCTGTTTGTTGTTTTTGTTTGTTTGTTTGTTTGTTTGTTCGCAGCTCATGATAAATGTGTCACGTCGTTTCCCCCCCCACTCTTTGGTAGTCCGTGTTTTTTCTGGTTGAACTAGTGTCAAGGTGGACTGAACTAGAATTATTGATTGGTGCTGATTAGGCCTTAACTGTTTAACTACAGGCAGCTTCTCAATCAATCAATCAATCAATCAATCAATCGTAAAGCAAACTGACGACCCCTGAATGACACATCTGATCGATATTTCTTATTATATTCGATACACATCAATAACAGTGACAGAACAACTTGTTAAATGCACAATGAACCCAAATAGTGAGCAGAAAAACTGCAGGAAGTTTGTGTAAATGTTGTTTTTTTACCACCTAATAAACATTTTGTTTTTCTTGTTATTGTTGCTATAAGCAACATTTGTTGTTTTGATTGTGAAGTTTTCTAATAGAGGAGGAGGCTCTGTGGATAAAGCTTGTGTTTAAACATTTAAAAATAACAATTTCATTTAGTTTCCTTCACAAAAATGAACAAAATGCTGAGATGTAGGTCAAATGTGTGTATTTTTATTTATTAATTTATTTATTTACACCCCTTAAAATCAAGCAGGCCTCACGACCCCCCTCGTAAAGCTTTGACGACCCCAAGCTGGGCTCCCGAGCCTCAGGTTGGACACCACTGGTTTTAAACTAAGCTTGGAGGAAGCAGGCTTTCCTGTAGACTAAAATCAATGAGTCAAAGACCAACATGACTTCGCCTGGCAAAATAAACACAGTTGTAAACAGTCAGTGTCCCATAATGAAACATGAACATAAATCCACATTAAACTGCTGATTTTTATTTAAGAACATTTATTAAACCCGAGGAAACATCAAACAGACACCACAAGGCTCAAACTGAGCAAAACTATGGGCTTTAGATCGTCAAGGTATTAGATTTAAAATTAAATATATCCAATGTCAAGATATCCTACAAAAAAAAGGTGAAGATAATGTATTTTGCAGTGATTAAATTAACTGTAGATGAGTTAAAACATTGGTTTTTTTGTACATAACCAGCGTCGGAGAGTAACTGATTAGATTACAAAATATAAATAACTATAATCAGCCCAGATTATAAGGGTGGAGCACATTTCTGCTCGCTGGCCGACCGGCTACTAAACGTTCAAATTATACCAACAACTCCGTAAATAACGTCATTTATCTGGCTGGTGAGTGAAGCAAACTCCCGGGAGCCGTTATGTGTAGATACCTGTGTTGTGTTTAGGTTTTTTTAGCAACAAATCTTCCTGAAAAGAACAATAAAGATCTATCTGTCTATCTTTGTATCTTTTGCATATTTTACCATCATTTGGCCGGTCGCTGGTGCTAATTCTGTACCCTGGCTGATTTGACATTTTTGGTAGTAAAAATGAAAAATAGATGGTCCAATTTCTGTCGATTGGCGATCGATTAATTGTTCCAGCTCCGGAGGATCTTCCAGTGAAGTTGGCTTTGACCCTAATGTCGCTTGTAAAGCTTGATCTTCTTTTAACGCTAATAAAATGACTGGAAAGTTGGAAAGCATCGGAAGGAGGATTTGTAGGTCACGTTCACTGAAATGACCAGCAGGATGCCACAGTGGACCTTTCACCATAACCATGTGGAGCTAGTAATCGCCAGAGGAGCTTATTCTCTTCTTTTTATATACAAATCATCCTACAATTTTAATAAACTTTAATGTGTCCTCCTTCCTTTACTCGGAGATCATGTTTTTCTCTTCCTAACATCACACTGATTGGTATGAAACAGCCTGCAGGGGACTGTGTGTTAACAGCATACGTGTCTGATGGTCACTTGAGTCATATCAAATAAAGAGACTCTGGATTAACTGGGCAGATTGTTTGTGGGTGGGTATGTGGAGTAGGGTGGCATAGGGTAACTCATGGTCTCCTAATACCAGACGATGGGAGATCTCTGCGCTTTGCTGACTACTTTGCATTTCTAAATGCAAAGTAGTTGCGAGAACGGCCACTAACCTCCCTTCAAGGACACGCCTTACCTGAAATGAAACTTTTTAAACCATTCAAAATGTTCAATATGGTATTACAATGTTTACAAGCACACAACTTAAGCCCTAAATACTTGGGATTGGTTCTGCAATGAAGGTTTTTTTTACATTTTCTACTTGTTTCCACTCGTTTTTAGCAACAAAAACCCGGAGAAAGTCCTTATTCTTTATTGAGCAAAGCGTTTAGAGACCGGCTCGGTAGCTCATGACCTAGTTTGACCACACAGTTAACCATTGTTGAATAAACGTAAATACCTTTTGCAGTTAAAATTTCTTGGCAGTTTTGGCAAAGATGGACCAAAATTTACGAAAGTACACCTTAATCTGCCCTTTTTGTGTGTCATTACTGTGTGACAATGTGAGCGGGGCAGTATGTGGGGTTATTTAGGTGCAGCAGATGCTCATTCATGGATTCAGTGAATGAGCAAGTTAATGAACACGTGAGCAAGAGAGAGGGATTCAGGGAGTTGGCAGAGGGACGTCTGTGTGCCCTGATGTTCAGCCGTCACTGTAACTGTGTAATCCAACAGATCTTGACAGGGGGAGCGGGATTAAAAATCAGGTTGTTGCTGATCTGTTAATGGCTATATGGGTCACAGGGTCTGTGGAGCAGACTTAAATATAGGTGGTGAGGATATTGGCCGCGTTTGTTCTGTCTCGTGCTGTGCTCTCCAGTTTCTCTCCCACACGTACGCTCGCATACTTCGGAGGCCGTGGCTGAATCACAGTCATGGCAGCTCCACATCTCGCCAGATAGACAATAAGCTGCTGCATATTTATAGAGAGGGAGGTGGTGGAGCTACAGAGGCTTGTCTAGCTCCACCACAACATCTTGGGCTTTAATAGTCTCTATTAACACGTAACATAACGCAGTAAAGATGCCTCTGGGTAAGCAGTTATATTCAGGCATTGCCGGCATGCAGGTTTCAGTTTGAAGGCCGACTTGCAGCGATGGATTGTTTTAAGCTGCGGTGGGATGCAGGGCTAAAAGGATTAATTGATCAATCAATTAGTACTGGATTCCTCACTCACGAGCTAGTGTGTACAAGTTTCCGTTGCAGCTCAGATGACAGCAGGTGATTTCACTGATTAACATTCAGTGTTCGGTAAGGGCACCTGTCGTAGCCCTTGGAAGGATACTTAAGTCTCCATTAGGGCTGCACAATATGGTAAGTTTTAAAAACAAACATACTTTTTTGACAGATACTGCGATATGATTTATGATTAGTGGCAAGGATCATTTTTGTACTGTAACTTTCACTTGGAAAAAATATATAAAATAATATATAGATGATGTGACATTTGTTGTGATCAGACATGTTTTCTTACATCTGGAGAACCAGATTTGTAGGCAGAGGGAATCTCTGCAGCACTGCAGTGCTTCATTATAATGCTGTTCTGTCACACATTTGGATATTGCACTTGGCCATGTTGTGATTTTATAATATTTCAATTAATTGTGCAGCCCCAGTCTCCATGGTACATGTGAAGAAAGAAAGAAAATGAGACTATTCTGATTTGAAGCTAATTGCAAATGGATTAACGAATATTAAAGTTATGTTGCCTACAGTCAAATGTGAGGATCTGCTTTTCCATGTTTAATATTGGAAATTGGGCACTCGCAGCATCACTTTCTGGTCTCTGGTGATATGTAATTGACATTTTTTATAAGCTAAATGATATTAATCGAAGAAGAGAACTATAATGAAGTTAACTGTTATTCAAAGTCCTACTAGAATGTAATCTATGCGGTTTAATCATCTGTATGCAGATTGATTGTAGTGCTCTCCATGTGAAAACTTTTTGCTGGGGTTTTGTGTGTTAGTTTGATTGATTTAGTTATGTACACTACCTTTATACATCCTCGTCAAAAACTGGGTCTAAATGTAGAAACAGCTCTCATTGATCTTGAGCCATATGGGGAAAAAATGTCACTTGCAGTAGATGATCAACCTAAATAGAGACAACGTCAGTACCCACCCATGTGCTTTCTGTTATATCACAAAAAAGAAATAATCTTGAATATCTTTAGATTTTACTAGACTGTTCATCAACTATTTTTGAAACAGTTGGTTTTATAAAGTTGAAATCAATATTAAAAATTAAAGTAATGTTTGTTTGCAGCTCTAATTTAATGTAGAATTAACACTGTATTGGACCTAAAACCTATGTAATAATGATTATAACTGGTCCTGTTGTGCAGAGAAACTTTGCTCAGGGCTGATCATGTGTGCTTAAGTTTAATACACTGTTGGGGATCCCATACTTGGTAGTAGTATGAAAGAGGAAGGAATAATTTCCTTGATATGCTGCAGATTTCTTGCTGTTAACCTTTTAGGTGACCCTCACTGCATTAAGAGAATATCAGCTAGTTAACTTTGGATTCTCAGCTACTGGACAAACACCAAAAGCTCTACTGTGTAGTGTAAATTATTTTTTATCTCTGCAATAACTCCACATGCATGTACTCCAATGATTACTGCAATAAATTAACAAAGTGCTTTGCCAATGTTCCCAATTCTAGGTAACAGTCACGCAATCCAGACTAATAATAACATCTCTAATATTATAGTATTCAAATCTAAATGATTTACAATGGATTGGTATGGGAGCTGTTGTTATTTCCCACGTCTGTATGGTGTAAACGTGTTGTGACTGGTCCATTTATTGGGCGTCTTTATGGACCGATATCTATCTCATCTTTATTAACACTGTTTCTGCTACCACAGTATGAGTGACAGATAACGGTAACTGCTCATAAAGGCTGTTTAACTACTAATAAGAACATTGTGATCATGTGTGGAGAAGCTCTGTTTATATCACTTATATCTGAGAAAGCGCAATCTGAGATGTATTGTGATGTTGTACTGCAAGGGAAAGTATTGATTTGCTTTCAAATTAAATCCAGTCCCTGCCCCTTATGACCAGTTACAGCTTTATTGTGTCTTTGTGTGTTTCAGAAGATGTGCTGGTTGAGGAAAACCAATGCAGTTCTATGTCTTTGACCGGCCTGATGACCCCGTCCTCAGCTGCAGGGATGTCCTTTAGCATGGAGATGCCCCGGAAGCGCAAGGGCAGCATGGACAACCAGTAAGTAGTGTGATTGCTTTACTTTGGCTTACAGAAAATCAATTTCATTCAGTGACCTAAATTGTTGTTAATTCCTATGACGGCAATTCATTTTTCTTCCTAGGGATAGAAAAACTGCTTCCACCCCTGACGCAGATATGGAAGACGACCAAAACGGGTACGGTGTGCTAACTTTTTAAGAACTGACTTGTTACATTTATGCTATTATGTATGTTTCTATACATTTGTGTCTCTACATGTGTGTTTTTCTGCTCTACAGGTCAGATGGAGAGGACCAACACGTCAAAATTAAATGCTTCAGGTAGGTTATATGTGATGTTCACGTTCTTTTAATATTACCATCTATGTTGTTTTGTTTGGAGAAAACTCCTGTGAACCTTAATCTAATTATTTAATGTCTCTGCAGGGAACCGCATAGCCAAATTGAGAAGAGGAGACGGGACAAAATGAACAATCTTATTGACAAACTATCAGCCATGATCCCTACTTGTAACCCCATGTCCCGAAAGCTGGACAAACTCACTGTGCTCAGAATGGCTGTGCAGCACCTCAAATCTCTCAAAGGTACCGTGACAGTCGATGTCCACTGGTGTTAAAAATAGTCTACCATGACTTTCTCATCACTGATGCATTCAGTGCATTAAGGGTTTTATTTTTGTAGCTTTGGCCATAATTCTTATCAGTTATGATAACCTTGTACTCTCCAGTTCAAACAGTACAAGTTTAGTCACACTATCTAAAACAAACAGCTGCACCAGGGGCCATTTCCTCCATCCCTCCCCTCCAGCCTGCGACATGACATCAAAAATATAATATATATATATTTTCTCGCTGTGGTTTGATATTGATTTTACGACTAGTATTTTCTTCTTCCAGGAAATTACGAGAATATAAGTTCGTAAGCATTACGAAAAAAGTCGTGTAACATTTACGAGATATAAAGTAGTATTTAAAGAAGCTTCTTACAAGAATTTGACCAAGTCTTCCCCCCACATTAAAATTATGAATGTTTGAGCATCATGTGATAGTTATATTTTGGTATCGTTTTCACCAAATAAGGAAATACTGTAATCTTTTTGGCCATCAGCATCAAATTTTACGTATCTAAGTGACCTTTTGAAACGATTGTGCAAACGTGTCTATTTCGAAGAAAGAACCACACGGAATTGCTTCTTTTGATCATTATTCTCGTATTATTACGACATTATTCTCGTAACATTATGACTCTTTTTCTCGTAATATTACGACTTTATTCTGGTAATTTCCAAAAATGTTTTTATTTATTTATTTTTCCTCTTAGTATGGCCCTAATACTCCATCGTACGATTTCAATTTCATGTACAATTAAAATAAAAGCACTATTCTAATTCTGTTTTAAATAAATGTATTTCATGTGGCACAAAATAATGGCAAAGGTCAAAGGTGGCCGCAAATGGGTTCTTTCTTGCAGTGCCTGAATGTTGAAGTGGTCCTCAAATAAGATCACAGTACCAGCAGTGGCCCCAAGCCAATTTGAGTTTGAGACACGTAGTTTAAACCACTTTATCTGGTGGTCAAATTCAAAGTGATTTGATGGAGTTGATGTAGTTGCATGGTTCTTGCCATTTTGGGTTGCTTCAATATGGTTTATCCACTTTGGAAAACACATCAGCTGAATGAATGTAATGTAAGATGGGCTCAGAGTAAGAACGTATGTCTGTAAGCAGTGAATGATTTCACTCTTTTCTTTTATGCGTAAGTCTGGCTAACCCGAGGGGTTTGTGCAAAACCTGTCTAATTGCATGACTGCACATGTTTCTTGTCTGAATTGTTTTTAGTCATTTTTCACAACCGTCAACTTAGTGAGTACAGTGGTATTACCCATAGTTAGAGATGGCCTAAAACTCTGAGATCCAGGTTGTAATAAACTGGAGTTATTCTTTAAACCTCTCGTCTATGTGTAATGTAGTAATGTCACATGTGTAACCTTTTTGTTTGTATTTTCAGGTTCAGGAAGTTCTTTTTCTGAAGCCAGCTACAAACCGTCATTCCTTCCTGACGAGGAGCTCAAACACCTCGTCCTCAAGGTAAACATACAGTGGACAAAGGCAGCAATTTGAGAAACTGAAACTGCAATGGAATACCTGTTTTATTTTTAAGGTAGTTATTTCTTAATAGAAAGCTAAGCTCAATCACTTGAGGATGTAAATTTTTCATACATAATCCAGAGGTCAGGCTATAAACCGCAGCTAGCAACAGTGGCCCAACTTCACTGTGGTTTGTGTTCACCACATACAAAAAGAATTGAATTTCAGTTATTGTGTAGGCTGCTCTCTTATAGCTGATTACACAAAATTTTCATGACAATTTAAATGCTTCTATTTAGTTTAAACATATAAATAAAATGAAATCTAATCTACTCAATGGCCTTTTACTTTTGTCTTGACCATGTCATCACATTGGATCCCCCTATTTTCCCCCCATGTTTCTTTGTCGTGCAGGCTGCAGATGGGTTCCTGTTTGTAGTGGGCTGTGATCGTGGGAAAATAGTTTTTGTCTCAGAGTCCATCACGAAGATATTAAATTATAGTCGGGTAACGCTTTTACATTTGTTACTGTATCTGCAGTATCTTTGTTCTTGTGAAACCCCCGGACACACCAGATGGGTTGCGTTGTCTTGGCACAAGTGTTATTGGACCAAATGACCCACCAGCACGTGCGTGGGCCCGTAGTGACACATTTGGCATCGTGTACGCAGATTTCACAGAAGCGCTCTTTAGAAGAACAAAATTGGTGGTTATATTTGGATTTTGATATTAAAAAAGCACATCGGTAGTGTTATTTAAACAGTGGATTATAATCAAATGATGTTCTAGTGCTACTAATGGTACATTTGAAATCCTTTAGATTTTTCCAAAAATTGCCAAATTGCAGTTCAAAATGCTCGCTTGATTGAAAGACACACGGCTGCTTTGAAGATAAAACAAAGGTGTTGGTGCATATAGATTTTCCGTTGGGCGATGGAGAGCCGTATAATGTAAATATATCATATTTGATTACTGGAGGGCAGCTTATGAAGCTCATGAATGCCCTCATGAGCTTCATAAGCTGTCCTTCAAGCAAGATTTGAGAAATGAGCCGTTGCTTTTTTCGGCCCTTGTTCTTACTTAAATCTAAATGTCCTCCACCTCTGCCCCTCTCAGTATCTGGTGTGCCCGGGGGATCAACAGTCCTCAATGTACTTTTTTCAATTTGTTATTTGTCAGCAGGAATTACCTTAGATGCAGAATGGTTTTGACATTTCTCTTTATCAGCATGAGAGCCATGTTTAGTCTGTTTGTTCTTCCTACAGGCGGAGCTGATTGGACAGAGCCTGTTTGATTACATACACCCAAAGGACATGGGAAAAGTGAAGGAGCAGCTCTCAGCTTCTGAATTATACCCTCGTGAACGGCTAATAGATGCTAAAAGTAAAACAATTATTTTTGTCTGTGTGAGTTTCTGTGTGTGTGAGAGCGTATTTAACACTGCTTTAATGTCTCCAGCCGGTCTGCAGGTCCAGGCTGACCTCCCAGTCGGTGCAGCACGGTTGTGTTCGGGCGCTCGGCGCTCATTCTTCTGTCGCATGAAGTACAATAAAATTTCTGTCAAAGTGGAGGAGAAGGAATTCCAAGCCAGCACCTCCAAAAAGAAAGGTAGAGAAATTACTAGAAATTATTAGTAAGAGAACCTCTGGTTTAAAAGAATACATTAATTTAATATAATTTTTTTTGCATTCATATTGTAACCTGTGTCTGCACGTGCCTACAGAGTCGCAGAAGTACTGCACAGTCCACTGTACAGGATACATGCGCAGCTGGCCCACCAGCCAGTTGGAAGCAGAGGGGGAGGGCGAGGCAGACAAGCTGGATAGCTCCTACTTCAGCTGCCTGGTGGCGATGGGACGTGTCCACTCCCACTCATCTCCTCAGGTTAATGGAGAAGTCCGAGTGAAACCCACAGAGTTCATCACGCGCTATGCCATGGATGGCAAATTCACCTTTGTCGATCAAAGGTAGAGTTGAATTTCAGTAAGGGGGTGGTAGAGGGTTGTAGTTTGCTGGTGCACGGCTCTGTTAACATCATTGAGACACTTTAAATATCTTCCATTGACGTTGACTTTAAGTACATTTGGTATTCTACATAGTACAATAGATGTTTATAATTCATACTAATATGGTACATTTGTGTTTGCCTTTTCTTCCACAGGGCTACAACCATTCTTGGTTATCTTCCCCAAGAACTGCTTGGGACATCATGCTATGAGTACTTCCATCAAGACGACTTACCGCATTTAGCTGACAGACATCGAAAAGGTAAATTCCCATCTTCACTGACTCCATAACTTCTTCTAATTGTCTAGAATCCTTTTTATTAGCATTTTCACTGTCTAGTGAGATGATACCTACATTCTTCAATTATGTAGGCCTATCAAATTGTTATTTACAATACAGCTGCAGTGTTGAAGCTGGTCACTATTATATGTCTGCTGGTCCTGTGCTTATAGCCTTTTCTGCCTGAAGCAAATTACATTTATTCTTAATTTTCCCCGCCCTCTCACTGTTTGTCTTCCACAGTGCTGCGGAGTAAAGAAAAGATAGAGACAAACTGCTACAAGTTCAAAACAAAACATGGCTCTTTTGTCACCCTGCAAAGTCAGTGGTTTAGTTTTGTAAATCCCTGGACCAAAGAAGTAGAATACATAGTGTCAACTAACACAGTTATAGCGTGAGTATATGTCTCTTTGTGCATTACCGGAATATCTTTGTACCTGAGGTAGATGTACGGTGTATTAATCAGAACTTCACCTGCTTTCTTATCCCACCCAAGACATGAACACAGTCGAACCAGTCGGTCAGGAAACAAGTCTGAACAATCGAGCAATTCCAAGACTTCTGAAGGTCTGTTCAAATAAAAAGAAATACTTCATTGGTATCTCGGATGCCCTGTGATACTTAAAAATATAGATTGTGTAGACATAGCACTCTGTAAAGTACATGTTGTCTGTCCCCACTCGTAACATTTCTTTCTGTTAGAAGATGGCAAGAAGTCCCTTCCAGTTATACCAGGCATCACCACACCTGGAGCCATGATTTATCCTGTAAACATTGGGACCCAGATTGCCAATGAGCTGCTGGATTTCAACAGGTGTGGCATCCCAACCGAGCATGTCCTACTTTACTGTTTATTTAACAGAGATATGTAAATTCCTAACAGAGCAAAAGAGTCTTATCTATGTACATTAGTGCAGCAGTCTTTTTTTTTACTAAGCAGTTGTTGTAGATGTTACTTTGTGCAGTTTTTAAGTTTGTCTGTGCTGCTTTAGGATGAACTCATCACCCTCCAGTGGTAGCGTCAGCCCTTTCAATCTACAACAGGACAAGTGTCAACCAATTCACAATCAAATCAGCAACAATGTAAGTCTTAATACACTTTTCCATTCACAAAACTGCATAGAGCGATTTCAGACCAGTAGTTTAAAGTAATATATATAATATATATGATTACAGGTGTATAGTGCTCATAGAGATGCAGGCCTATGTTATAGTATAGCAATAGCATAATGTACAATTTGTAGAATCCTATGTAGTTCAATCCTATGTAGTTACAGAAGTTGTTCAGACAACTTATGACTGTAAGTTGAAGTGATACCAAATCAGCTTTCAATATAACTTAACTGAATTTTAGTTTTGAAGTAGAATGGGAAGTAATTTACATAACTTGCCAAACATTGTGGCAATAAAAACCTTTCATCTACCTAGCTGAAAATTAACACTGCCATTTACCTTGTTATCTGTGTTAAAATGTTTTAACATCTGTGTGTACTGGGAAATGACGGTGAATTTTCTCTCAAGGTTGAGAGGCATAATCAAAGCCTGCACAGATTTAATTCTTTCCTCCTTTTTTTCCCCACTTGTGACTAAACTCCTGCCATGTCTATAGCCAGGGCTATAATTTGCTCTTCTTTTGCTCTCTAGGTGCCAAATGGAGAGGCAACGGACATGGAGATTCCAGGAAAGTCCAGCTCAGAGGATGAGCCACAAGGAGCTGCGTTCTCAGGAGGAGAAACACTCATGGGTATTTACTCTGATTCTGTTAATAAATTGTATATAGAACCATGTTTAGTCTTCTCCTCTTGTAACTCCTTCACCTTGTATTTTCTTTCCCATCTCAGGGGAGAATTCCCAGCTGGATTTGGACAGCGTGGTTGGACCGGGCCTCAGCAGTCTTAGCAATGATGAAGCAGCCATGGCAGTGATCATGAGCCTCCTGGAGACCGACACAAACTTGGGCGAGGCTGTGGACTTTGAAGAGATGCACTGGTCTTTATAGAATCTGCTCTTTCAGTGTGAAGCTGGAGAACACTGCAAAAACACTTGGACCATCAGTTTTTTGATGCCGAGAACTGCTTGAATGCTTAATCTAAGATGCAGCATTCCTTTTTTAAGGACTTTTTTTTTTAATTTATTAGTCACCTTTTTCCACATAAGCTGTGTAGTCTTCGTGTGGCTGCTCTAACAGGGAGCAGGATCGACGACAATACGGGACACCCTGCTTCCCCTCTTCAGAAGGAGGATGTGCCTCTAACGCCTTACAGCAGTCTGCGTGCCCTAAAACGCTCTTCCTCACTGCTTTCCTCACATCTACTATCATCCTCTGTTTAACTGAAGAGGCCTCACAAGGTTGAAGAACCCATAAATAAACATTACAGTGACATGATGTACAATGGCTCGGGGTTCCTGCTTATATTTCTCTCCTCCACCTACATTTGAACAAAGGTTGGGAGTGACGATGCAAAAAAAAAAGAAAAAAGAAATTGCACTGAATCGATTTCATTTTTTTTTTTTTTTTTAAAGGTTGTAATTTGATTAGGTACTGTATGTTTAATTAAAATGCGAGGAAGACCTTGACAACCTGGCCCATCTCTGTGACCCCCTCAGGATTCAAGCCGTAGGTAGCCAGTGTACCACGGCAGACCACACTTCCATCACCTCTAACTTTGAGAGTCACCTCATGATGTGCCACTCAGAGATTTTCTCTTAACTTGTCAGTATCTGAACATTTTCCATGGAAACAGTCCAGTAACCTCCTCTCTTGTACACTTGAACATATACTGTCTATGTGTGGATTTGGTATGATTGCAAACACAGTGTGTTCAGGCCATATCTGTCTTAAAGGGATAGTTTGCATAGGAAGAATATTTAATGTTTTTAGTATGTACACTTTTATATACATTTAGCCCACAATGTTGGCTGCCCTGGATTTTTTTTTTTTCCCCCAAGCAAACATTTAACATTTCCTGGCAGAAATGAACCCCCTTCACACGGCGGTTCACCTTGGATTTATGATCACTACAGTACTACTTCATGCAAAGTGAAATGGCACTTTAGAGGTGCTGAAATTGAGGTTTGGTAGCAACGGCTGAGCAGCAAACCCATTTCACATCTGTGACATTTTATCAACACATGTTTGAGGTTGATCTCGCGTGTCTGATGGTAGAAGTGCTAACTCAGGGAGTGACGGAAACAGAGCCGCCCCATTTTAACATACGATGACACAGTTCTCAGTAACTGTGGCAGTATTTTGTCCTCCTGCTTCCCTACTTTCTGTACATTGGTGTGAGTCATGTCTCGTGATAAGTCTGTCCTTATTCACTTGTGTGTCTGTGTTCTTACACTTAATGTCAGTTTTATAATCTTGCAGGTAAGCCATAGCTTCAGCTGTTTTTT